TAAATTGGTTACTAAGGAACACCTGCAGCTTTATGCTTCAGGAACAGATCTGTAATCCTGCTCAAGGCTAAATACAGATACCAGGTAGAAATATCCACATAATAGTAAAGATCAATTTGTGCAGCCATTTTTAAATATCTCATCTCGGTGTCTAAACCACAGACTGTAAATAAACGATGGATGTAGCCTCGGGGTCTGTACAGTGAAGCCAACATGGAAGTGCCTTAAAGCTGCATTCTGTCTAACAGCCAGCAGGCGGCGACTCTTCTGGTTGTACAAAGAAAATGAGAAAATGGTCCTACTTTTCAGTTGATTTGTTCCGTAAACATTTTCTCAATGAGTTTATGGTCTCAGTTGCAGCTTCAACCCAGAAGTCACACCTAAACCAGCACCAACACCATTGAGGGGTGGCCCAGGGTGGAAACTAGAATGACGCTATGTAAATAGAAACAAGTTATACTATTACTGTTTTTTTTTTTTTTTGGCAGAACTTCTGTGGATCCATTTCTCTACAACTGTGGTTCCCATACAGATGCATTTAAACTGTGCAACCACATACCTTTCAACCACATAGAACCAAAGAGTTCGGCTCAACCACAAAATGTTCACTCTGATGATGCAGCAATGCACAGACTTCATATGATTGTCATCGTCAAAAGTATGCTATATATATAGTATATGAGTTTTCATGTGCTTTTATGTGACAGTCTTTCCTCCATAAGTGAATGAGTACTGAAAGACCAAATGAATGACTATAAACATTACATTGTGCCACCTTGATGTAAGCAATGATCTCAGCCTGGCCACCCATATGTAAAAAATGTCAAAATGTTTTAAGTTTATCCAGACAGTTTTATTAAAATTATCTTGCTCCCCCGCTGCTGACTAGCACCAGGATCTTTAGTCCCTTACGTCAGAAAAGTCCCCAATCTAAAATAGTGTACAGTAAACAAGGCCTATCCCTAGTTTGGCAAAGGGAAGGAGAAGAAGAAGAATACTATTTAGTCTGATGACATTAAAATTGATTTTTTTCCCCCATCAGACTAGACACCACATTTGATGGACATTAAATGCTGCACACCGTCACCGACACACCATCCCCATCCTGAAGCATGGGGGTGTCGGCATCATGATGTGGGGATGCTTCATAGCCCTTAAAGGCTTGTAAAAGTAGAGGGTAAAAGGAATTGCAGCAAAATCTAGGGAAACCCTGAAGGAAAACCTGATGTAGTGTACAAGAGAAGTGTGGCTTGGGAGAAGATTTGTTTCCCAGTGAGACAATGGCCTGAAAGCTACACTGAAATGTTCAAGAGTGGCCCAGTCAGAGCCCAGACCGCAATCCAACTGAGAATTTGTGGATGGACTTGGAAATGGCTGAGCTGTAAGGCTTATCCCTCGATGGCTTTTCTGGTGACAATAAAGACATTTCCTTGTGTTATTTGGCTGCTAAATGAACTGATTCCCTCTCTAATGTTGTGTCTCTTGCTCAGGAGCAGCAGCAGTATAACTTCAGCTGCCTGTGGTGGAGGGGAAAGGCCATCCCCACAGGCCATGCACCACTCCTCCTCCTCCTCCTCCTCCACCTCCTCCTGGCGAAGAAGCTCAGCACCTTGTTCAATCCACGCCTTGAAGAATGAATGGTCACGCACTTCTGAGTGAATCTGTGTGCATTTTCTGAACATACAGTGTATGTGTGAGCGGCTGGTGCTGGCTGTGCGGGGGAGGGGTTAGTCAATTTGACAGTCATTTTTCATCTCCTTACATGACAGCCCCATTAAAGATTAACGGTGAGAAAAAAAATATGAAGCACTAATGGAGGCACACGGTGTACTTGTAGCATGGTAAAGTTACAGCTGTCATCACTAAACACACACACACACACTCTGTGAAAGTTGGATGACGGATGTGCTCTACCTCTCGCTGTGTACTGTCCACCGGCTGCTGGTGCTGATGTTGAAACAGAAGAAAAGAGCAACGAGGGCACACAGCAGAACGAGGCCAAAGGTTTCAAATCTGTCCATCCCTGGAAGAGAAAAGAACAAAGGGCCAGGGGAAAAAAGAGAAACAGTCAAAAATGTTTCTGTCAGCACTTTTTTTTTTACTGCATCTATTTTAGTGTCTTACTTCAACCCAGAATAAAAAGTGTGAATCTTTTATGTAATTCTGTTTTATCTAACTATGTTGGTTATTTATTCATTTCTCTGTTTCATTTACTGACAAAAACATGGTCATGTGCTGTTAAAAATTTATATCAGTGCAACACTGGCCCATTTCTGAAAGATTCTGCTGCTGAGACTTGGTGCTAACAGGAAAGGTCCATCTGACCGAGGTGTGCGCTGCCTTTAACCAAATGTCCTCAGCTGTCTCATGATTAATTCAGTCAGACACACAGTTTTTTTGCTAACAGAGGGCAAAAGATTTTGTGGAGGGATTGTTGGAGCAACAGTTATAAAGCTGTACTCCTGAATAAATGGGATTGTGTAGCTGCATGGGTTTGAATGAGCCAATCACTGTAAAGCATCCCGCAAACACTGGTGCCAATCAGCCAATCAGTTTCTCTGTAATCAAAGCCGTTACTTCAGTTCTTCTAATTGCTAACAAGTTCTTTGCATGTCTCCACTGGGATCTTTTGCGCTGATTATCAGGTCTTTGAGGTTAGAACGTATCTCTGCCGTCACTTTGATCTTCAGTTCCTCCGAGAGATTCTCGAGGGGATTCGGGTCTAAACTCTAATTGGGTCGCTCCAAAATGTTGATATTGGTGTCTGTGAAACATTTTTTGCTGTATGTTCCAGATCATCATCTTGTGATTCACTGCTGCTCAAGTTTTTCTGCAGATTGTTGGACGTCGTCCTCCGAAATCTTGACCTTGACACCTCCAGAGCCCCACGTTCCCAACACCACGCTTGTGGGGGTGATGTTCTTGAAGTTCAGTGTTTCTCCGTTCTTTCATCCCTGTGTCCAAACAACTCCTTTTTTTCATCTCATTCGACCACAGAACTCTTGGCCGAAAGCTTTTCCTCTTTTGTCCAGGTGAGCCTTTGTGTGTCTCTGTCGGACAAGTGAAGTCCTCCTTGCTTGGTATCCATGGAGACCAGTGTCTGCTGGAGTGTCTACTTGAGATGTTGTTGCCAGAATTGCTCAGAATCTTGAGGATGTTCTTGCTTCTGATCCTTGGATTCTTCTTAGCCTCTTACACGACCAATCTTGTCAGCACAGCGGTTGCTTTTCGCCTCCTGCCACGACCTTTGAGATTTTTCACAGCACGGAGCTCCTTGTACTTCTTGACAATGCTTTGCACCGAGGCTACCAGCACTTGAGAAAACTCGGAAGTGGTTTTATGGCCTTTTCCCGTCTTGTGGAGCAGCCACGATGTGCAGCCCTCTCTCAGCGATGGATCCTAACAGCTCGCTCGCTGTGCTCTTTGGTTTTAGCCGTGACTTACCATTCACTATCAACTGACTAGAGAACTGCTGCTTCAGCTGTTTTCAGTCCGTTAGATCACTCCAGAACATGGTTGAAACAACTAGAACCATTTGAAACGATGTAGAAGCTGCATTTTTTTTGAAACATTTGCAACAAGTTGAAGAGTGCGGATAATATTAGACAATGCAAATTTAATAAAAATGCATGAAATAGTTAAAAATGTGTCATTAACATCTCTAACACAATATCCTAATTTCCAGCCAGAAGGAACGTATAGGTCAAATCCGGCACTGGGTGTGAATGATTGTGGGTTTAGTGGTGGATGCAATATGTATAGAGAGAACTAAGTGAAATCCAACGATGACTGGCTGTTCCGTCCTCAGGAGATGCAAGTCATAAATGTATTTAGAAGAACTGGGAACCGGACTCAAACATGGCGCCCTCTCACTTGAAGGAAAATTGCTCGCTTGGTACACGTGCCAAAAAAACTTTTCTCGCTTCCAGGATTGCTTCTGCCAAATCTCATAGACTTTACACTGTGATGCATCAAGAAAACTAAACTCACTTCTCTTGGCATTGGAGAGATTTTTTTATTTATTTTTTTCACAAATATGAAATGATGAAGCGACAGGAGTCTGTTTCAGACTGCGTGAAGAGCCGGTGTGAGATAAATAGTTTCTAGTAAGAGTTTTCTGAACTATAAATCATGCACGGAGAAAGTTTCTGAAGAGGGATCAGCGTTGCAGATGATGATCGCAAATGATCCGGTGGTTGTTATTTTGTTAAAGTTCTGTTGTTGTGCTGTTTGTGTGTTGGAAGGCCCACCTCAGGAAGGGCCCTGCAAACTATCTGGGACTATGAATGCTGCTGTATGTGGTTTTGCTGCAGTATATATTTGTGCATATGGAACTAAACACGGGCGCAGTTGGTAGCACTGTTGCCTCGCAGCAAGAAGGTCGCCGGTCCGCGTCCCGGTGGGGGCACCGGAATCTTCTGCGTGGAGTTGGCATGTTCTCCCCGTGCAGCGTGGGTTCTCTCCGGGTTCTCCGGCTTCCTCCCACACAGTCCAAAAACATGTTGAGGTTAATTGGTGATTCTAAATTGTCCGTAGGTGTGAATGTGAGTGTGCTTGGTTGTCTGTCTCTAAGTGTGGCCCTGTGATGGACTGGTGACCTGTCCAGGGTGTCCCCTGCCTTCACCCTGAGTCAGCTGGGATAGACTCCAGCCCCCCACGACCCTAGTGAGGATTAAGCGGTGTATAGATGATGGATGGATGGAACTAAACACTAAAGCAAAGTGTTTGTTTGTTCACATGCAAGTCTTCAGACTGCAGATGAAACCATCGTGTTCACAGAAGACTGAATGTTGCATGTTTGCCCCGACTTCACTTGGAAGGAAATACATTTTTTACTGAGCTTGTTTCAGGTGGAAGAAATAACCGCAAAAAAGTGTTTTTTCCTGTTGAGTTACTTTTTAGAACAGTCGCCTTTAATGAGTGAGTTTAGCAGAAGAGAAATGTGCAACAATGACAGGAATCAACACATTTCCTTGGGCGGTACGAAAAAAAAAAGACACTTTGACTGTAAAAGTTTATTTTGATAAAATTAAACAACTTGATAATACATCGTATACAGACTGGAGACTGCCCACAGCGAGTTTCACACCTCCAAAAATGACATTAAAAAACAGTGAAGCTGGACGGTATTGAGATTTTTTTTTTGTTCTTTTCTTCCAAGAATATCATCATCGTGTCCTATAAATATTTGGTACAAAAAGAATGAGTTACAATATAAAGAAAATATGTGGACAATTTTGTTTGAAGCCTTCAGAGCAGAGCACAGTCACAACACAACTGGAACAAACCGCTGCTTTTACTGAAACTGCCAAAACACACGATATAAACTCCTGATACCAAATCAGAATAACAAAAAAATAAAATAAAATAAAAAGGAAAAAAAACTTTAAAAAAATCAGTAAACCAACACGACCTCATAGTTTCTCTCCTCATCTGGAAACTGTCTTCTTTAGAATGTAGCACTGAGGTTGACGGTTGTGATTTTGCTTTAAGTAATTAATGTGACATCAAAGCAAATGACAAATACACTTCCTTCCAGTGTTGGTTAATTACAACATTTAACAACAAACCCTCATGCCTCTGAAGGACACACAAGGGTGATCTGAATAAAAACGAAGCAAATAAACCAGTGAAGGAGGCAAGCGCTTCCTTTCTTTTCTTGCAAGTGAGTGAAATCTGTGCCAGAATACCTTTGGGCAAAAACATTTGGATCATATCCTCAAACTGTGCGAGTACATGGGAGGAAACAGGTACGAGCGGGAAATAATGTGGAACTGAAAATGAGGTTACCAGTCACCGAAAGACATTCAAGCTGCAATGCTGGCTGTGAAGTAGGGCTGTCACTTTTCCAAAAAATCAACTCGGAACAAATGAGGACACATCGTATGTCGGCATTCGTTTGAATACACATACAGTCCAATCGCAAAGTCAACTTACGCTGTCAGACTGATAAAGTTCTCTTCATTTGCGGTGCGTTCGCTGTCTTTTCAGGGACGAGCTAACAGCTGACTTGTTCTCTTGATGTTCCTGTAAGGCAGTTTGTCCATTAGTTTACTCCTCAGACAACTCGGTTTCATGATTATCTGTTCAGAACATCTTGCTTTTTAACTCTGCATCTTGCATAAATCCTGCATTTATTGCTTTTTGGCAACTCTGAAATCTCGTCATCGGGGGTTTTCTAGGCAACTAGTAAAGAGTCGAAGAAATAGAGTGCATAGAAAAGAAAAATACTTTGTCTCAATAACAGCAGCTTAGCTGTAGAGCTGCTGGTAGTTTTTTTTAGTTGCTTTTAAGGCCAATTCATGCTTTCTGTATCTGTAAGGGTCCGCGCAAAGTAAATTCTATCTTCCACCCAAGTTTGAGAGGGATTCCTCTGTGGATGTATGTGTGGCGTACAAAATCAGTGACGATGCAGACTGCTCACATTCCAGGAAAACAAACGGTGCTGTACAGAAATGCCTGTCTCATGTTGAGACAACGTGAGGAGATCCACACTTTTACAATTCATCATTTAAAGAGTTGCGATTGAAGCAGTCGCTGCCCAAACGCTGGGAAGTTCTTATAAACTCTCCAGAAATCCTGTGCTGTGTCCACCTGCTGTGTTCTGCACACCTCAGGGACAAACACAAGGTGCAGCAGAACAATCGTACATCCTGTAAAAAGTCACAGCCTTTCAGAAGCATCCACAGAGTATTTTTCTGCCTTCAACATGAGGGGCAATGAGACCATCATGAGACCTACTGGGGTATAAACAGTATGTGTCCGCTTTCAAATTCCACATCAGTCATACGGACACCATGAACTGGTCGGTAGACAGCCTGGCCAGCTGCTGTTTCCTGCTTTTTAGTCTTTGTGCTAAGCTAAGCTAAGCTAAGCTAATTGGCTGCTTGTGATAGCTTCACAGACATGGTGGTGATCGACTCCCCAAGAAAGCAAATAAATTCCAAAAGAATCCCATTATTCTTGCTCTGGCTAATGTGGTAGCAAACAGCCTCTTCCATCCAACTGAAAGGATCAATATTATCATATTCTGGACTTTGTGTCCAACCGACTCTCCTACTAGCTCTGATTAAGAACTAGAGTTGCTAAATGCCTCTGTCTGATGTTTTGATGTTGAACAGTTTCCATTAAGTTGCTCTATTGCCGGCAACAGTTCACTGCTGTTGGAAATACGATTGATGAGAGCAGTGAGACTTAATTCAAAATGTAAAACCGTGAGCTGGAAAACCGAAGCAATGGACTGAAAGATGCTAAAACACTCAGTCGAACTGAGGAGAAGCGCAGATTTGGTGATAATTCTCCAAAAATTATTCACCACAAGCGACTCCTTTATTATAGTCATGTGACGCAATGTTAGTCCAAAAAAAAAAAAAAAAAGATTGGTGATGATTAGTGCAATTTAAATATTTCACTGAAGCCACAATCTTTGCTGTACAAACAGCTCGATGCAAATAAATCTTGGGTATTTTGAGTCGGATAAATTGTTTCATGCTTGAACAATATTCAGAATTTTCAATTCAAAGTGACACCCCTACTGTGAAGGTGGGGCCTCCCATGTCCATGTAAATATAAAACATTTTCTTGACAAAAAAAAGAGAAAAAGAAAAGGGAAATCTTTTTCCCCCACTTTTTTTATGATAGCTGAAGTTGTATTTTGTTATAGAAAAAGACTCCAGTGAAATTAAAGATTTATGGAACTTAGTATACTTCCAAGATAACTCTGTTCAACCACAGTTCTGACACAATATACACCTAATCAAGAAGCTAAAAATCTAGAAATGGTGCTGTGAACATATCTCTTCTTTTTGTGTGCAGCACATTAAAAAAAAATTGATCCAAAAAAAAAAAAGAAGAAAGAAAAAAAGAAAAGGAATCTAAAAACCTGCGTAAACAGAAAGAAATCAGTGCATTTAATCATACAAGTTGTCCTCTTTTTACTCTGTGTCCCGAAGAAGGCGATTTTCTCCTCTGGAATGGTCATTTTGTACAAGACAGCAAAAAAGACAAAAAGCAATCATGTAAGAGTCATTAGCCCCCTCCAGTCTCCACCAGCCAACAGACATCCACAGTTCAGCTCGAAGGGCAGCAGAAGGGCACTTAGTCAAAAAGAAAAAAAAAAAACACAAGGACTCGTCTCTCCACACACTTCGCTTCATATCTGCAGCGGTGAGTGTGTCTGGTCCGGTCCTGAAATAACTACATTGGGGTTTTGTTGACTGACCTGGGTCCAAACACTCCATTCAGTTCGCCTGGAATGGCAAATTTAAAGCCACAAAAAAAAAAACACTCTCCAAAATAGTTTTTTGGTAACTCAGGAGAGATTAAAATAAAGCCAAAGAAAGTATTCAAAGTCCAATTTTCCTAAAAAAAAAAAAAAAATATCCAGTCCAATTTTGATTCCAAACTCCATTCAGGCCTGAAATGAGTCTTTGAAGAGGTTCACACTGGTGGAGCTAAACATCTTTGGGCTCCACCGTTGTGCTGGTAGATTTACATTTCTACATCCATTAGTTCCCATTCCCAAAAATAACGTTTGTCCCCTTTTGAAAATGACTTGGTAGGCTCCATTTTTGGATCTGATGTGCAGTGAAGGCAGGTCAAAGGTCAGGTGGTGATCTCGGACATCCCATGTAATGGAATCAACATCTGCCAGCATATCTGTTGGTTCATCGTGTCGAGTGTGTGTGTCTGAAAAGTTCTCTCATTTCCTTAAAGCTCCTCAGCAACGTTCATGGTCTCTAATACTGAGTTTGTAGTTAGATGTTGCTGTCCTCGGCCCTGCAGTCGCCAAAAATGTTTCCTGAACCCGTCTTTGACATGGGATTGAGTGGGGTGTGTCATCGTTAGGAGAAGTCACTGTCCTCGGCCCCGTACAGGTCGGCCAGTTTCCTGAACCGCGGCCCCCAGTCACTCAGGTAGTGGTAGTCCTGCTCGGCCTCGGACGAAGCCGAGCCCAGCGAGCTGAGCGACTCGGCCACTGAGCCCGCGCCCTCGTAGGCGTAGGTGGCCAGCGAGTCGTACGGCGGCGCCGTCGGGTTACAGTCGTTCTCCAGCACCCTCTGGTTGATGAACTCGCGTACGTCCCCGTTGTCCCGTGACGTCATGTTCACCGGGGGCAGGATGAGGCCGGAGGCGGCGGGCGCGGGGCGGCGGTGCGGCGGGTACAGCAGGGTGTCGGTGGGGATGATGTCACGTCTCTGTTTGGCGGATTCTTCCAAGGCGGCGGCAGCATCCGGGTGTCGAAGAGCTCCGATGTCGAAAGCCTGGGTGTCCTCCTCGCCGCCGCCCTCGTCGTTGTAGCTTACAACGTTGTCCCGGACGTCCTCTTTGGAGATGATGAGAGGCTCCTGCTTCCTTTGACGTTTCAATGCTGTGAACAGAACCACGATCACTGGAGGAAACAAGAGAGAGGAGCAGGATTAGACAACTTCAGATCACAAACTGAAGAACAGCTTCTGTGTATTTATATTCTTCTATTTTAGTCACTTTGTTTTTATTGGGTATGACTGATAAGGAACATTACAGTCACGTTCACTGCTGAGTTAATAAAGTCAGAGCAAGAAGCAGGCACCTTGTCAGTCGGTTAAAAAGCCTTATTTTGACTTTGATTGCACCATAAACGGACGTGCATGCTCATCCTCACATCCAAACCAGAAACTTATTTCCAACTGAGAAGCCAAAATTCACAGATGAAGCTGTGAATAACGTTGACTATCTCATAACAACGGCGCACGTCAGAAATACACAGGATGTAAACAGTTAATCAACACGTCGGATGTGGGAGAAGCAACCACAACTTTACAGCCTGATGACTGTGTTGGGAGTATTTCACTGACAGCAAGTCTTGTGGGGTGTTATTGTGTCAGCAGCAGTGAATATCTACCGACAGTCCAAGGAGGCATGTTCAGGAACAAGTGTGATCTACAGCTCCAACTCACAACTTACACCAACTTAGAGAATCTGCTGTCTTGCTGCCAGAACCCACAGGGGACCTTCACTGGTGGTGTACAGCTGTTTTGGCAACACGGACCAACAGCATGTCAGGCAGGTGAGATCATAATATCATGTACTTTGCACACAGGGAGGCTATTTTCTCAGGTTGTCAGTGCTCTAGATGACAGCTAGTTCTTTTGCAAAGCTATGTGTGGTTTTGTTTATTTTTTTAATCAGTTCACGGTAGTCTGTCTATTGTCCAGAATTGGGATTTGAATGAGTTTAACCTCCATTTTGACGAATGTAATGTTGAGGAAGTGAGCAGAGTACAAAGTAGCTCTGTGCTGTCAGGTGGTCACAACTAATAAAACTGTCAGGTTGTCGCTCCTGTAGATCACAGAACACTTGCTGAACCTCTATGTTGTGCCATGTGACCCCTTTGGAGTCTTTGTACCATGGTGGATGGTTGACAGTAATGGCATCTCCTAATGTCCACTGTTTCAGTTTAAATGTGAGTGGACACCAAGTTCAGTCATCATCAGTCCATTACATGTGTACAGTTGTGACTCAATAATTTGACCCTTAACAATCTGAAAACCTTGCTATCCGACGGGTTTTTAGGAAAAACGAACGGAACCCATAGAAAATAGCCTTAGCATACCAACAGCCTTGGATTCTGACTCTGACATGACATTTTATGTCACAAATAAAGATAACAGTGTATTATCTGACTGAACAATCCGACAGATTGGCTACGTTCAGACCGCAGGACTTAATGCTCAATTTGGATTTTTTTGTGAAATCCAATTTTTTTTGCGAGTTCATTCACATTTCCAATTAAAAGTGATCTCCTGTGTGAACTTCACACGATCCAAAAGTGTCCCACATGCGCAGAAGAGGACACGACGATGTCACACGCAGCGAGCGTGCTCAGTGTTTGCAGAAGTAAACACGGATGTTAATGGTGGAGCGTATCTGCCACTCCCCTGCCACTGCCGCCACCGATGGTGGAAACAGAAGTGTGACCGCTAACTAAACTGGCATCAGCAGCCAAATACTGCCTGTGCCTTCCGGCCAATTCCACTCCATCGGCGCGCTCCCCCAGGGTGGAAGTGGCTGGAACGTGCACAATCTCACTGGTCAATTAGGTGTGAAATCCAGCGATGCGTAGTGTTCTAACAATACACTAGTTATTATAACAACTATAAACAATAAATATGAACAACAAATGACCCTTCAAGCATCAAGCCCTCCTTGTATCTCGACCTCCGTCTTGACAATCCGACAGCCTGGCTGTCCAACATAAAAGAAGGTTTTACATTTAGTGTTGGCTTATCGAGTCACGACTGCATTATCATTCCCATGGAAACTGGGCAGCAGAAACTTCCTCAACCTTCTGGTAAACTCCCCTGATTCATTGTCAACATTCTGATCCGGCTCACCCTGATAATCCCTTGCGTACATGTGAATAAGTGTAGAACTTTTTTAGTGGAGTCGACACCTAGAAGCGTATATAATGTAGCTTTGTAGCATGATAAACGTAGCGACAGGGTTCATTTTAATCCAAACTACAATCCTTTCATAAACTTAGGTAGATTTGGTCTAAACTTAACCATAGAACAACTGGAAAACGGTGAGTAATAGTCAAAATTAGAACTGAATCAAGAACTTATACTAGAATATTGGTCATACACGGGACTCAGTCGCAAGTTTTGTGGCTGAACGTCCACTGATTGGTGCCTCCTCCATCCCCTCCAACTTTCAAATCTGGACTTTGTTCCTCTTTAAGTGCAAAATTGTGGCTCCACCGCCTTTATATAGGGTAATAAAGTCCTACTGAGCTTAGAAGAAAGTAGAGGAGGTCTCTACTGGCACATAGTGTATGCATAGGATTGATCAGAGGTGATAACTCGCGTTTAATGGCCTGATAACATGTGAAGCAGGCAGATAGGACGTATGCGTCCGATCAATAGAAGGTGAACGAAGTCTGGGTAATAAAAGTCACTGTCATCTTCTAAATGAAGCGAACCTTGTTTATAACAAATCTGCTTGTTTGACTGCTTCTGTTTTTCGAGCGAGACGCCCTTTTAGTCACGTCATTACATTCCCATAGATATGCAATAAAGTTGTTGAACACTCGCTGTAACGGCACCATGGTTGGAAATGATGGACAAAACCATGAAGATAAGATGGAGTTCAGCTCACACACATGGAATGGCTTATATGAACGCAGAATATGTACAGTGTTAGTATTTAACATCCGAGCTCTGACCTCATCCCTCCCCACAAGGTAGCACCAAGCTTAGCACATCAGGGAGTGAGGAGTGATGAAAATAACTTGTCCCTCTGGGCAATGTAGATGTAGAGCCCACAAGTGGATGCCGGGGTGGAGGTGCAGCTTTTGAAATGCTACATGAACAGCAGCAAGTGACAGCATAGATTTGAGGTGAGCGATGTGGCAGCAGAAGAGAGAACAGAGCACTGACAGCTTAAGTACATCAAACGGGTGCGTTGGATTTATGCGGCTGTGAGAGGAATATGCCATGTGAACGTGGCGGCAGACTGGAGTCGGCAATAAATCACAATGATGGCAAACTTGTAATAGAAAGCACATTATAATATAATGTAGAGATGTATAAGCGAAACAGGAGGAAGCTCTGAAGCGACGCCATACATTTCTCATTGTGGTTCAGACAACGCGGAACTCACAGAATGTACAAATTAGTGTAAAAACGAGGGCTGCATAGACCGGGTGGAGGCAGACAGAGAGGACAGCAGCCTTTGATTTCAAAGAGGGCTCAGCCATAAATATCATGCAGAACATTTGATTGGTTAAGCTCATGCAGGCCAGTTTGAATTTAAATCAAGTAAGTGCACAGTGGCAACAAGAAAGAGCAGAGGCGGAGTTAAGGTCAGGGAACTGAAATAACTGATAATGCATACACAGTAGCCCTGCAAATCACAGCATGAAATGTCTGCAAAGGAGCAGGAGAGCGTGAGCTGGGATGTGAATGAGAGAATATCAGATAGTGAGAGAATTAAAAAAAACAGTAAAGGTAGAGCTGGGGTGAGAAAGACTCACATAACTAAAGACAGACAAGAGAGACAAACAAACACGACTGATGAAAGAAAAGAAGAACAAAAAACGTAATCTTGATGTGATGGTTGAGGTAATGATGAATACATTCATTTGCATATCGACATGACTAAAATACTGCAGCTTAAGGCTGTGTTGTGATTAACATATAAAATATAATTCCACACAATGTGACTTCCCTCAGGGACTCGACCAAGAATTGGCTTCACCATTTGCTCTTCTTTGTGGTAGAAATACATGTCTGAATATATTTTCTTTTTGCTTTTGTATAAGTTGAACCTACATGGGCTTTAGCACATTTTCCTAACAGCAGTGTTCTTATAGCATGATCACACAGAATGTTTTTTTCCTTTACTGCAAGCATTAGCTGATCAACTACAGATGGGCATGAGGGACCTATCTGTACTCTTTGCTACAATTTCCCCTCTCTGGTGTTCATTCTGGTTGAGAGCACTTGAAGAACTATTGTAGCTGAATATAAGCAGCAGCCCCGACTGTAGTTTGCTCTCAGTTCATTTTGCTGGCTATTATGTACATACATACATCCACATCTATTTCCCTCAATCAAAAACTCCACTTTGGGGCCAACGGTGGGAATTATGTGGGTGCTTATAAACCACAGTTCAGGAGGATAACCATCACTCATCTGTCCACATGGTGATTTGGCAATACCTTATTTTAGCTGGTTGTAATCTACTCAAAAGAAGAACTGATCTGAGCTGTCTTGGTTAGAATTCATGCTTTGGTGTTTGCAGACATGGAAATAAAACATGTATCTGGTGTGCCTGAAAAAAGGCACAACAGGAGTGTAGGTACACAGTAATCAATAGTAATGAGCACCTCCCTGTCCGATATCACTTTAATAAATCAACACTGTATTTAGCTTAATGCTATACACTCTATATGCAATGCATCAGATGTTTTCTATGTAAAAATGCACGGTCCCTGATCAAATAAATACATAAATGAATGAATGAATCACCTCTCAATAACCGCATCACCTCTAAGTTGGGTGTTTGCTCTTGTGCAAAATTAATAAAGTTATTATATTAAAAATAATGGCCCCACAGTAGCAACTCAACGCAACAGAAGTCAGTTAATCTTTCATTACTGAGATTCATATCTTTCATTTTTCCAAGACTCAACCCTGCTTTGCATGAACAACAGATGTTCTGTCATTTTTCAGAGACTATTTTTTTTATCTGCTCTTTGCTGTCGAAGTTGAATTGCTCTCCTTTAAACTCTCCAAAGATGTTCTACTGGATTTGAGTCAGATGGACTTCTCGGCCAGGTAATAAATAGCTTTCTCTTTTTTTCTTCTGCAGAAACTCTTCTGTGGTTTTGCTTTCCTACAAGTTCCTGGGAATTATCTTGTCAGTCAGTATTTTAGTATATCCACAGCCATTCATGGTTCCATCTGTAAATGTCATCTCCCCAAAACCTTTCCTAACTCATGCAGCCCCCATAATCATCACACTCCTACATCTGTGCTTCGTTGTCGGGGCTATGCGTTCAATGTGGAACCAAACATGTTGAACCACATCTTGATCTTATCTAACCAAAGAATGTCATCCCAAAATTCATCCAATGTCTTCTCATGTGCCTTAGCAAGGTTTCATCTTGAGCTTTCGGTTCAAAGAGCAAGCACGGTTTTATTTTCCTGGATCCCATTTATAGAGATTAATGATATTTAAAGTCAAACTACACATGCATCAATACATTTTAAACTTTCATGCTGCCTGCGGTTTTAAAATGGAAACAAGAGGGTCATTCTATTAACACTGTTATGGTCTGGCTGTAATAGGAATGCACTGAATTCACATCAGCTTCACATATTGTTTTCAATCACAAAGGCCTGTGGTTGCAAAACTGACGCTTGATAACAATAAATCTGTGAAGTAGAGGGCGCTGATTCCAATTACCATAACATTTGCTGGATTAAAAACAGCCGCAGTGGAATGGACATTAGGGGCATTTCCACTTGTGGTCAGAGGTTTGCTTTAACCAGGTTAAGAACACTGTGCATGTAAACTTACTCATGGTGTGAGTGAGTGTTTGTGTGTCAGTGAGTGCAGGCTGTTGATGGCTGGCTGCTCTCATCTCTTTGCATGTAAGTGTGGACACTGCATTACAGCACTGCCTACCTCCTGTGGGTGTGTGTGTGTGTGTCCATACATTTCTGTGTCTTGCTCTGTGTGTGCGTGTGTGTGTGTGTGTGTCCAATAAGTCTGCAATGACTGCACTTTCAGAGGCGTATGTATTCATTTTCCCAGCAGCCCACTGGACTGTGACCACTGCATGAATAAGAGGATAAGTGGGGATGTGGTGGCAGATGAGATGCATTCATTTCCATACGAGGTTTGCTTCAGACGAGCAGCAGCAGCAGCAGCAGCTGCAGCAGCAGACTGGAGCTCTGAACCAACATTGTTTTCCATTAAAGCAATTGAGAAAGCACAATAGTTGCTTGTGTTTACCACGCTGGGCAAATGGACCCTCTGCAGAGGGCTTCGAGAAGCACGGCCGTTTTATGCAAAATATATCTTGAGACGTGTATTTAGTCTTGTTACACATTCTTATTAATATGTACTGCATGTTAAGAAGTTTTTGAAAAGAGGGTGTTTTGGTTGTTTTATTTACGTCTGTCTCGTGGTGTTTATAGGTCAGTGAGAATCTTTCTTTATGTTGAAGACTGTCACACCAATGACTATTTTGTAAGACTCCGTAGAAAAGTACTGCTGGTATCTGAGCTCATAACAGCTGGATGTGGTGTCTTTCTGTGTTTTTTTCATCAACAATAAAAGTTAGTGATGTGTCAAAATCCAAACGTCTCTCCAAGTAGAACAATGTGCCTTTTTTGGGTTGGCACCTTACGAATCATATAAAAACTACAACTTAGGCAACTGCTACATCTGAATGCTGTATGGATTAGGGGACTGTAGGAGGACTCCAAAAATAAACGGGAATATGGTTGTTTTTCATGGCCGGCTTGACTGTTTTTTTTACTTCTATGCTTAAGCTCGGCCCCATATGGACCTTACAGATAGACAGTGATCACAAGCGTACGTCCAAAATGTGGCAAAAATCACTTCAGGACAGCCGAGTCAAGGTACTGGAGTTGCCATTGCAAGATTTCAGATCAGAACAATCCAGAACTGAAGAAGTGTATGCAAGCAAGCAGACGTATAAACCTGACTAAGTTCCACCAGATCTGTGGGGAGAAGTTGGCCAGCAAATTATTGTGAAAAACTTGCGGAAGGTTATAGTTAAACAATTTTAAGGCAAAGCAACTAAATACTGACAAAGTGCATGTAAACGTCTGACCCACTTGGAATATGATGAAAGAAGTAAATGCTGAAATAAATCATTCTTTCTACGTTTTTCTGGCATTTCAGATTGTTAAAATAAAGCACCTGGGATGGGAAATGTCTACGAGGAATACACATCAGTAATTGTGATAAACTGACTTCAGATCTATTTGTCTGAGGTGTACCTTGGCACACATATTTTCCCACACTTACTCAGCAGTATGATGGCACACAGGAGGATGGCAATAAGGGCCCCGGTGCTGAGGCCGGGCGAGCTGCTCAGGGCCTCGGCGTTGCACAGCTCCATGTTGCCTTCGCGGTCGCAGGTGCACACCCTCACAGTGAGGGTGCCGGTGCTGCTCTGCATGGGGTAGTCGCCGTCAGTGATCACCACGGGAACCAGGTAGACGCTCTGGTGCAGGCGGCTGTAGCTGGCGCGACGAGTCAGGATGCCAGCGGTGTTATCTGAGTTAGAGAGGGTTCTGTTAGAAGATGATTACGGCACACCTGCGGAGCACAGTGTGTCTGACACTCTGTCACACAGCAGAGGTGTGAATAAAAATCACTTCATTACCGGGTTGCAAAGGAGAAATGTGGGTGCAACAAGGCATTAGTCGCTCATTCTACCTCACCGTGGAGACAAAGCATGGGGATGAATCTGTTTCACAACTTGGGGCAAAGGAACTATGACATAGCAGATCAAGAAGCTTTAAAACTTGGGGTATATTGCTTGAGAGCATGCAGGCAGCCAATCATGTTGCTGGAAAAACTATTTCTGACGAATAATGAGTTGAGGAAATGTTTTCACGTATTTCACTGTCAGATCTAATCATTTCAAATATCTTTTTGGCTAATGGCAACAATAAAGAGTTACGAACATCACGATAGCTCGATGAAAGCTAATTGATTGCCACAGATATGTAAAATCAAATAGAACTGTTCAGATTTCAGCTTTTTAATGTCTGGAGGAGATTGTGGTACAAGATATAAGACATAACTCGCTAACTGGTGAGTTTTAGAGATGCTGGCAGATGCTTTTGGACAGAGTAACGCGAGCTCTTTTTCAATCTTAATGCTAAGCTAAGCCTTTCTGCTGGCTGTAGCTTCTTATTTCACTGAGACACATTGATTGGTATCAATTTTCTCGTATTACTTTTGGCCAAAGAGCAAATAGACTATTTCTACAAAGTCCTTTTTTAAGCAGTTTTGACAGAAATATTGACTTATACTGTAATACGCTAAGTATGAGCTTTTTTAGTTTTAAATAATAATAAAAAAAAACTGTAGAATCAGCAGGCCATGTTCTATTTGTTTAAAGAGAGCAGTGCCAACTTTGTACTTATGATGTTGTGGATAATGGTGGCTACTTCTTGTTTCTTATCCATCAATGCAAGAGCTAGAAATGCCATTATATTCCATTCTGAATGTTGCTGATGCAGGCCACATTAGCTAAATGCCTTCCCTTATGTCTGTTTCATACAATTTAAATAATTAATGCACTTGAAATCCAATCTCAAGCAGTCTGTGACCCCGCGTTCGACCACCTACCTCCGTTGTCTCGGACGGTGAAGTTGCTGCGGTGGGTCCCCTCAGGAGCGAGGCTGAAGAAGAACTTGTGTCCCGTCGACGGCTCATCGGCATCTATAGCACTCACTGTCTGGATCCGCTGTCAGAGACACCAACATCCATTAGCATGAGCATCCCAGTGGAGTGAATTAAGACGAGTCAATGAGTGGAAAAAGACTGGCAGGGTTAGAGCTTCCATTCACAGCAGCAGCACACATTAGTGTCCTCGCTGTCTGCACTGTAAAGCTGCCAAATCAAGCAGCTTGGATATTATCAGGATCACTGCTGTCTGTGCTAAATAAGGCATCAATATGTCTGTCCACAGCACACATAAAATACTGTATCGCACTGAAATAGCATCGTAGACAGCTAACAAACGTTTCTCTCTCTCTCCTGTTGTTATTCTTGCTGTGTTACAATCACAAATGTCAGCTGGAAAACATTATGTAATCATGTGAGAGACATTCTTTTTTGACATTCTGTACTATTTTCATATTTCTGGTTAAATGTGACTAAATACCAGCTCCCTGTAGAGATTTGAGGAACATAACAGCGTGACACAAAAGCAATGTATTTAGTCTTATTTTAGCAAAACAGTGACAGTTTGTATCACACTGAGCTCATGAATTAACGGCGGATATGTGGATTATTGTACAGCAGTGGCTTGAGAAGTTTCTGAGGGTGTTTGATACCGTTTTTCCCACAGTGCAAACTTGTCACCATTGGGATCCATTGTAGCCGACTGAAATCAAGCTGAGCACAGCTGCCGTTCTCTGTGTAGAAGCGGGCTACAAGCGTTTTATAGCTACCTTTCATGTCTACGGGGGAGGAGAGTTTCATATTCCAAAGAAAGATTTTGGGTGGGGAATCACTTTAAGCCAACAAAAGCTGACAACAGCTCGATGGAATCTCAATGGATTTCAGGGTGTTTGGTGGAATCAAATTCAGCAGACACAAGCATAATGTACACTGTGGGCTTCAGTTATTAAATAAACATGTCCGAGAGTGCGAAAATAACCGCAAAGCGTGCAGTGTGATTTATGTGACCATGGAAGGAAACATCGAAGGTGGGTGTCAATGTCGATGCATATACAACACCTTTGTCACTAATGCTTGGACTAGAAGTGTGTTTTACTCACCAGTGTTAGAAAAAAAAAGGAGGTTGCCTCAATAAAATATAGGCTAAAGTTAAATTTGTGTCTTGAATCTGACCTGACCTACCTTAGGAACTTTTAAAATTTGATGCCAGACACATTCTGCCTTTGGTGACTACTTTCTGAATTGGACTTGAAGAATTTAAGCTGAAAGGTCAGAGGAAGTCAGACAGTGTGTAAAACCCTTTCACCAACTCGCTAAAGTGTGCTCTTCTCTTGACTGTTAGTTGTTACAGCAAAATCAATGTTTTTATATATCAGCAGTGGATCCAGTGGCTATGTGTTGTGGGAAAGAGCAACAAAAGATATTCTCGTAGTGTAAGCGTAACAACTGGACTTGCTTGAGTTTCTTGAAGACGTCTCACCTCTCATCCAAGAGGCTTCATCAGTTCTGACTAAGAACTCTTCCCAGGAGGATGAAACCACATTCACACCGAGCCACCAAAGACCCTAACGAACCCTATTGTGGCAGGAGGAGTACTAATGACTCGCATAACACGGGGGAGGAGCAACAAACCCCCAATTGAAACCGAAACTCAGATGTTAATGGCTCCTTAACGATATAACTATGTGGAACTCAAAACTAGTCAGTCAGAACTGGTGAAGCCTCTTGGATGAGAGGTGAGACGTCTCCAAGGAACTCAAGCAAGTCCAGTTGCAACGGTTATTCTCGTAGTTTAATCGTTGCAACCGGACTTGCTTGAGTTCCTTGAAGAGCTGAAAGCATTGGATATACTTTGGAGGAGGGGAGGAAATTTGGGACTTGTGTATCCATCAGGTGGATATAAACATGACTTCAAATGAATGACAAAGCTGCTTGGCATCTGGTGGATGTGCAGACTGCAGAGACGCCAATATTTACAGTTAAAGGTGGTGATGCTGTATGTCTATGTTGAGACAAAACAATAAAAAAGAGGGGGGGAAATCAATTAATGCATGTGTAATATGGAAATAAATGCACTGTAGGGGCTCTGGGTGACTGATCCCCGAGGAGCTGTAGGTTCCTGTTATGTCTCCGATGGTGACTGTATGTATTTTAACTACAGTCTTATTTAATTGAATAGGAGACACTAGCAGAGAGATTAAAGGCTTTAACAAAGATCAGTGCCAATAACACACACACACACACACACACACATATACACATGTGTGCACATACACCAAACAAATCCGGAGGAGCCCGAGGGAGGCAGTGGAGGATATCCGTCGAACAAATACTGATGATTAACACTGATGGACAGATGAAAGGGCAGAGGAATTAAAGGATGAAAGGATGGCAGGATGACAGGGACGCAAGGAGACCAATGGCAGCGAGCCACCATACTGAAGAATGTCAAGATGATGCTGGGTGTGCACGTGTGTGGCATCAGCATACTTGCACCTAATTTTGGTTTGTTGTGTTGTACTTAACCTGTTTGTGTGTGTGTGTGTCACCGCGCGTACAGATTTGCGTTTTTATCCCATTAACTGGTGCATTATATTAGATGCATCGTATACTTGTGTGCGTTCGTGTGCGTTTGAGTTTAAAACCCTATTTACAATACTGAGCGTATGAAAGCTCCTGTCAGCGTCCATGACAGATTAGCACATCAGCCACCACAAAAGAAGAAGCCGAGCGGCCTCCGGAAGCACAACCAATCAGCTTCTCAGTTGGAATGTATGTGTGTGTTTGTGTGTGTGCATATATAAGCTTGCACACTTTAATCACATTAGTTGAAACCCATACTGTATGTGATAAATCATATCAAGTGGTATTACAGCGGTGTACAATTACTCTAAGTAGTGTTTAAAACATTCAAATCCAGATTTTTGATGGATAAAATATTATCACAGGGGTGTAAGAAAGTCATAGCTATTTTCTATTGGAAACTGCAGTCAATGAGAAGATGAGGTGTGCTAATTAAAAAACATCTTTGTCAACTCTTTCGCTGGATTATTTACTGTAAAATGCAGCTATGTGGTTGTAAATGGGGGAAAAAAAAATCCGGGAGATATGTTTCATTGATCAACGCCAGCACAAGGGTCAGTATTGCTGTAATGGTCGATTCCATGCGAATCCTGTGCTCTTCTGTTCTGTTCATAAAAGGGGATTACCAGCTAGGTTTAGCCTTTTGCACTTTGCATGTCCTGTAAGTGATTCATAAAGCACATCGCTGCACAATAACTACAGCACCACCTGCTCCGTCAGGCTGCAGAGCCAACTCAAAGTCTGTATTGGAAGTCATTCAAGTTCAGTATTCCACTCTGAAATAATGTCACAGAGCAGCCCCCAAATGAATCAGGACGAAGCAGCAGTTCAGCAGTGTACACATGGTGAGTATTATATAATCTGATTTCAGTATTTTTAAGCAGCATTTATGCTCTGAAGAACTGAGTGTTCGACGCCTCCTGTTACGACCGGCTTTTTACCGCTGGCTGTTCTACAAACAGAACTCGCCTTTAAATTCACCATATTTAACTTAGAGTCCTTTCATGGCAACATAATAACTTGAATTGAGGCTTTTATTTAGTTTCAAGTAAAACTGTTCCTATATGTGGTGGTAGAAGCATCTGGGTCTCATGTTTTTAGTGTTTCATGGTCATTCTCCTGCAACTTGGGTCTTCAATTTTATAGTTTCGTCCATAATTCATATCAGTAATGATAACACCGTGTTCATCAGCCACATGGCCCCGCTGACCCACAGATCAGCAAACAGGAGCAGTTTGATGATGAGACGGCTTGTAAACAAGCCAACAGTTTATCCAGATTATTTCAATCACTGTATTTGGAGGTCAAACTGAAAGTGAGCGCCCTTGAAACACTGCTGCAAATATCACTGTTAAAACTATAATAACGACAAGTTGATCTGGATGGACACGGTGGAGAGGAACAATTCTACTGCTCACCTTCATTTTTGCTTTTACGCAGGTGATTTGTTAAAGGTTGTCTAATGATCTGAATGCTTGTTTCTTTACCAGCTGGACTTAAATGTTATCATAACTAACAGGAAAATGACGGCTAAAACGATGACACTTTGTCACGACACTTTGAAATTAAATCTGCCTCTCTTTTATAAAGTAGACAAAACAGGAACGCATGTCGTTACTCGTTCTTTTGGGATTAAAGAGGAAACATATAAACGTGCAACACAGGTTTTTAGCTGAAACTGATCCAGGAAAGTTGCAGCTATGCGTCATGTGCGGTGACAATTTGACTACAAGTGAACTTCCCTCAAGTGCTTCCTAAAGTGGCTCACTTAACTTAACAGCAAGCACACAATAGGCTAACATGTGCGTGGATGCAGACATTGTGCTGATTGGTATGATGGAAGACTTTAATTAACTGTTTTTGTAGCAGCAACACTCTCAAATGAAAACTGCTTGTGCTTCCAATCAATACCTTCAACGCTGGCCAAACATCCAGAGCTGCAGCAGGAAATTGCTTACAGAGCCGGGGCCTATTTTAGCGTCTTTAAGTTGGTGTTAGTGTTTCTTGTACGGGATTATTATGTTAATTTAAAATCTAATGTACTTTTTCCCTCACAGTGCAGCCCTGTCCTGTTCCACTCCGTGGCCTGTCTATCACTTCTCCCCACAGAGAGTCCCTGCCGGCTGAGGTGAAGTAATAATTAGCAGCTTCTGTGCATATCCTCGGCAGCCACCGTAATATTAATCAGGTGATTGCCGAGGAAATAACCTGTTAAAAACAGGATTTAATGAAATTACCGCCTTTTTTTTTTGGTCTCTCTTGTTTCATTTGTTTTTCCACAAGCATTAAAGCCTGCAGTGAGGCTCTGTTATGGCTCTTGTTCCAGCGAAGACCCAAGGTTGAAAAATATATTAAATCGTATATGCCTCCTCACTCTTTTTTATTAGCAGTGAAAAATGTACAAAATATTCAGGTAGCAGTTTCAGTCGACACTGACCTTTGATTCTGGCTGGTTGAAATGACAACCATCGCCAGCAGCGGATTTTATCAGCTGTAATGTCAATTTTCTGCAAGCCAGCGTCTGCACTCGGCCAAAGATTGTTTGTTTGAGAAAGAAACAGAACTTTCTAACCTCAGTCTGCACTAGATAGTGGACTGCGTGTGCTTTAACAATTCAACAGGACTAACGGGGAGGATCCTCCGTCTTGTTTCAAGCTAATTATTCTACAGGTTTGAATAAAACCTCCACTGTGCCGAACGTAACAGGCTCAGATGTAAATCTAATCAACACTTCACAATTTCTTCTCCTCAGCTTGCTGTTCGTTTTCAGCTGAGTGTGAACATTAATTATGTCACCGCTCAACAAAGGCAGCGTCTCCACCTTTCCAGTCAATAGAATTCAGATGCGCTCTAACCTTATAGTCTTCAATAAGATGAAGGAGAGCCAGTCCTGATGCTTAATTCTGATCCTTGGATTAAGAGTGAGAAACACCCTTGTACTTTATAACTTGACTAAAAGATGCGATGAAGCTGTTGTACCTGTCCAGCCTTGGTTCTCTCACAGACGAAGGTTTCATACGTGGCGGCGAAGGTGGGAGCGTTGTCATTGATGTCCAGCAGGCGGATGTAGACGGGAACATGGCTGCTCTGACGGGGATTATCTGGGGGAAAAACAGAAAAAACACACAAAACTGAACACCACGTTTCACTTTTACAGTCTCTAGCTATCCAGCACAATGTCTGCTGTTCCACTAAAAGCTCCCACTGCCTTGCTTAAGGGCGACTTGTCAGCAGCACATGGGAAATAGAAATGAAGCATGCTGACCGTCCACTTTCCTCAGTTACACTTCTCTGCCTTTTCTGTGCTGTCTCTTTAACCTCTGAGCTCACGCATAAACATAAAAGTTGGAGTATGAAAACATGAAAGAAAATAAAATAGGTTTTCAAGATAGAACACGTAAAAAAAAATAAAAAATCGCTCATGTCCAAGCAGTTGGTCCTGCAATTTTCACAGCATGTCTCAGTTCAAGCCGGGAAACCAATCAGGCTTCCATTTCACACTTGTGCCTGAGTCAAATTGTTTGTGGAAGCTGAGGTTATTTCATGTTAATTAAAGCTGAAACCTACAGAAAAAAAAGAACATTTAACAAAAACTAAACAAAACAATTCTATTTTATTATTATTTTTTTCCCCCCTTTAATATAGCTTCACTGTTCTCACACTGTTTAGCGATGAATCATCAATGTCCAGCAGAGTCGTAACACTTAGCAGCGCAGCGTGACCGGAAACGACTTGTTCTACTTCAAAACAGCAGCAACATTAATGAAGAAGAAAATGTTGCACATTGGTCACTCTGATTGTCTTAAGCCACAACATATTCTATCGCGTTATTTCCATACATTAGTTGTAGAGTGAAAACAATGAACAAGGATCTAATTTAGTGGATGGATGCAGGATTAGCGCTACAGGGTGGGGCAGTTGGTAGCACTGTTGCAAGAAGGTCGCCGGTTCGCGTCCCGGTAGGAGCACCGGAATCTTTCTGCGTGGAGTTTGCATGTTCTCCCCGTGCAGCGTGGGTTCTTTCCGGGTTCTCCAGCTTCCTCCCACACAGTCCAAAAACATGTTGAGGTTAATTGGTGATTCTAAATTGTCCGTAGGTGTGAATGTGAGTGTGCTTGGTTGTCTGTCTCTAAGTGTAGCCCTGTGATAGACTGGCGACCTGTCCAGGGTGTCCCCTGCCTTCGTCCTAAGTCGGCTGGGATAGACTCCAGCCCCCCACGACCCTGGTGAGGATTAAGCGGTGTATAGATAATGGATGGATGCAGTATTAGCTGTCTGCCTGTTTTCTGTACATTTAGCTTCTCGTCAGAACTTTCGCAAAACTGCACGATAAGTAAAACAAGAGGCGTCTCTGAGGTTCCGCTGATTTGATTTTTTTCCTCTTCTCTTCACACTGCTGCGGATGTCAAATCTGCACATCCACATCTGTGAACGCATTATTTGTTCAAGCTGAAGCTAAACAGATAACAAAAACCCAGCGGAGTTCTGTACATTGATTTGTTTTCTGCTTTGTGCAAGTAATGCATCCTACTAACAAACATTGTGTGTGTCTTATTCCTCAGTGCCACAAAGCTCCGCTGTGACTGAACTGGCTTACTTTTCTTCATCAACACACAATGTCGATTATCTTGACTCAACCCCACTTACGCCGTTCTGCGCCCACAAATGTTCACTTGTGGACCGAAAGTGTAATAATGTGGGGCCGAAAACAGCAAATGTGCTATTTCCTCTTACTTAAGTAATGTTTTATTAAGACGACGGTGTCAAACTGTTGCAGGAAATTACCCCAAAAAAACACTAACTACATACAGTTTATTAAATTTTACGTCTTCAGCAGGAGCAGCTTGGCCATTTAAGAAAACAAAGCAGTTTTTAAAAAAGAAAAATCACACACATGGATTCAACTTTTATGCATTTACTACATTTAATGAATGATTACCACCTTGTGTTCTTGTTTATTACAAGGAAAAACGGACAACTTGTGTTTAAAATTGTAAATTTAAAATGATTTGAAACAAATTCAACCCGTGCTTATGTGAACAGGTGATTAGGTTGTAATCTATTTTTGCTATTGCTCAACTGATCTTTTGTCCCAGGTTTTGAAAAACTACATCCCCGTTTTGAATGAAGTGTATGCATTCTTTGTGTAAAGACGAAGGACAGCAGGTTTCACAAATTATCACGATCACTACATTAGCACGACAGCTACGCTAGTTTATTCTAACAACTAGAACCTTTACAGTGAGAATAAATGCCAGATTTAAACAATGTCCTTGATTTCATAAAAACTTAAGAGTGGTGCAAGGCAACCTCGTATCCTCACGTTTTCGAAAGCGCGAAGAAAAACTGCTGTTTAAGTGCGAAGGTAGATCAGTCGGTGGGCAGCCAGTGAAAGCCTGGCTTTGCAGCGCCAGTCGGTTATGTTGGTCTCATAAATTTTAGTCAGTTCATTTTGCTGCTGGGAGACGTTTACATTCTAGGTTCTCTGCCAGAAAAGCTTTAAAAAGTCTGTTGAGGTGGTAAAAAAAGCGACAAAGCGCATACTGGCAAGACCGTGTGGAGGATGATTGGGTCAAACACTTTTAATAAGGAGTCTGACACAGTTTGAGTTCCGTTTCAAGCAATCAGTCGGCTATAATGTTCAGACCCACTTGACTTATTATTTTCAGGTTGCTGGAAAAAAAAAGCTTTAGGTTTTGTTTGGTTATGTTTATGCAAAAAAAGACACGGTTGGGTTCAGCAAAAGATCATGTTTAGTTGAAATATATCTTTTACCATTAACTATGTTGTTAGAAAGCCCTGAAGACAAACTTCTCCCATGTACATCTGATTCCTCAAAATTCACCGAAAGCCACGATTCAAAGGTTTATTTTTTTCAACATTTTCTTCTGAGGAACATGTTCCCTGTAGCTTTGCCCAATTTAATGCTTCATACTGCGCTTCAACCAGCAGCAGCCCCCACCGCTACTCAATATGGATCATTGACTGATGGACAGATTTAGTTTTTGTAAAACACAGTGTCCTTCTGGAGTGGATCAGACAAGAGCTCTATTCAGACAGCGTGCAGATTTTAATTACATTTAAGACGGACTATTTCCTCCGCTGAAAAGGCAACTGTAAAATTTGTTTATGTCAAGGTCTGTGGAGTAGGCACTTATCGGAAGGCACTCGTTTCTTGAATGACACGTTCATCAGGTAAAATCCCATCACTGGTCTGAGAAACAAAATCCTACTCAAAATATTTCACATTAAAGCTGGACTGGACGTATCTACATGGTCAGACAACACGAGAGGTAAGAATTTGCATTTTAGGGAAACTGACTTTTTTATTCCACTCAGCCAGTCCACGATTCTAAATTTAGTGGAATAACACTTGTTATTGACCTCCCTCCATGATAAGCGGCTGTGAACGATGCACCAGACACGCTGACTGGCTCCATACATATGTACCCTATGTCGATTTATCACCGCATCAGCTCTGCAGGCGGTCGTCGTCCCTGCCGGACTTACTGTACTCGGTGGCGATGACTGTAATGTTATGCCAGGCGGTCTCCTCTCTGTCCAGGGTTTTGAGCAGGAACACGGATCCGTTCCCCGGATGGACGTTGAACAGGCGGTCCATGTCGGTGCGACGGTCGATGGAATACCTGTAACAAGTCAGACGGCGAGAGGGTGAGAAAGGGCTGAGTTAAGTCGGTGGGTGGGATGAACTACAGTAGGCCTTGTATCTGTGCAGCCCCACCAGGGAGTCGGAGCAGTAGGGAGAATAATTGATTTCTCTGAATCTATGATGGAGGGGAGCACATGGTGATAGAGACAAGATAAAAGCGATGTGGTGGACCGTGGAGGTATTGTAGCTGTGTTTAAGTCTTTAAAGGTACAATGTGGGCTCATAAACTTTGCATTGCCGAGCTGCTGTGTGAAGCCTCCCACAGGACTGTGCCGGTTAAAATGTGCCACAGTACCTGGCCAGATGAAACAAAAGGGCACAAAGGTTTTAAGATGTACTAGTTACAGAAATACCTCCATTATAGCCTGTGGACTTGTGAGTTTAAACACCATACTTTCTTTGCCATAGTAACAAAACATGAGAAAACATGTCTTAATTACTAACCCTTGTCTTTGCTTAAATTGGCCACGAGAAACAAATTGTCTGTAGATAATCAAAATTACTTTTCACTCGTTAATGTCATCAGAAATATGCCTCGCTAATTAACCTGTGTTGCATTTGTTCAATGTGTAATTAATCAGTAATGTAAAGACGACAAATTGTGGTAGTAGGTGATGTAGTGTTGTGACAATTATGAATTTTTTTCTTTCTACTTTTGCCAGGGCCAGGCTCCCATGCTAAGCTAGGTAGGCTAACCATGTTCTAAGTGCAATTTCACGCGTGAGATTGATATCGATCTCCTTATTTCAGTCTCTGAAATGTTAGATGACTTATTTAGGGTATTGAATTTTACATGATTTGATCTTGTCGGCGTACACTGAGGTGAAAGCATGATGCTGAAAATGCATAGATGCACCTAAACCGAGAAGGAAAAAGGAGGACGATGATGACGTTCAACATTCCAAATAGCAGTACGGTCGTCCATCTTAATAGGATCACAAACATTCCTACTTATTGTGTCAGGGTTGTGATAAAACAGCTGTCACAGTGACAACTTGTTGTAAATCTCTGTTTTACTGTTTGATAAACCTGCACATTTAAACTGGACTCGCTCTTTTAACCAATACCTGAATAGAGATCTACCTGATAACAGACCTCATTGTATTTTTTTAATGCGTGGCTGTTTATGGTCTGAACACACACGGGTCCACTTAAACGGCTGCCAACAATAGATATAGCGGCTGCCTATTTTCAATGACCACACAAAAAACACAGACTTTCACATAAATTTGCTCTTCTGTCAATCTAAACATCAATTTATGTGCTTTTTTTTCTCCAATGTCTGAAAATGTGGTGCAAACTTTGATCCGTGAGGCTGGACAGAAAAAAAAAACAAAAAAAAAACCCGACAGCGCTGATATTCAAACCGCTGGAATCACATAATTGTGTTGCAGTGGAAGCTGCAGCAGTCTGTCCTCTAGTCCTATTCACTCTCACTGTAGCCTGCTCAAAACATCACAGCTACTTGAAAAAATCTTCCCACTGTCTACGGACTGCTCACAGAGCATTCTCTATTTTTGAACTAGTTGCTGAATGCAGCTATTCACACCTTCAAAGCACTCCATAGATAATAGAACTGAGATGCCTTTGCCTCAGTCTTTCTCGCCTGCCTGTCAAAGTGGAGGCAAACTGCTCTGTGAACAGGAACTGCACATTGTACTGTATGTGAGCATCTCCAGTGTCTGGATCAAGGCTGGTTTCACTATCCACTCAACATCAAACCGCTATCAGTTAATTATGTATCTTTCAATCCTCATTATTGTTTTGCATAAAGAGATATATGAATCTAAAACGCAAACACTGCCTCAGTACATCCAGGCTTGATCATAATTAGAAAGCACTCAACAGTAAAATAATAGCTCACTGACACAATGCGAATAGATGATACAGCCTCGTACGCAAATGCACAAACACAAGAATAATTGGAATTGTGTGTGAGTGTGTGTGGCCCCTTGTGACACATCATTTTAAGAGCACTCCATGGTTCCATGCTTGTTTTAATTGGAATATGGTCCTCATCAGTTTGCCTGCTTTAAATGGAGAGACATAATGGCCCAGTTCCAGCCCCCGACTGCGCTCCGTCCTTCCTGCCACACTCGAACACACAAACTGCTGTCATCCAGTCATCATACATCCATCACCGTCATTTCCGTCCAACTAATCCTAAAGTTTTTTTTCTAAATTCGTACTTTTGACTCCAACTGCCCTTCGAGATTGGGAAAGTTTCAACGTATAGTCTCCTAACAGTCTTGTACCTCTCTGATCAATACCTGCTGCAAGAAGAGCACATTTGTGAGGGGCTTCGGGCTTTTTATTTTGTAAACATCAACATATTCCCTGGATGAACCGATGCTGTTTGAGTAATGCACAATTACTAACAAGAGAGCAACAGAGCTCAAACTACCCTAATACCGAGCATCAATAATGAACGGTACCGCAGTGAGGCAGTGGGGTTTAAATATAGCTTGTAGTGCAGGTTTCTGCTGTGTATGTGCTCAGCAGTTTTAACACACAGCTGTACAGTGCACAGACGGCTTGGTTTGGAATAGTGATTGCTGTAACGCCTATCTTTTAACCTGCTAGAATTTTCCCCTTTATTCAGGCTCTTATCAGAAACTCCTTTACAAGCAATGAGGATCAACTGAAGTCAAGTTTCTATGTAGTTTTGCTCAGATTTCTATAATAGCAGAGCTGGTTTCTCTGTTTTACATCTGATACGAGGAATGACGGCTTTGCAGGTAAAAAGAAATCACAGTTCATGAGAAATAACGTTTGTGGATATATTTTTGTACATGGATTTAACCCTCCTATTACCTTCAAATTTACTGACATCTTTAATCCTTGGGGTTCAATTTGACCCCAGCAATTTAAACCTCCAGAAAATATCATCATTAAAATTGCTACCAAAGTTTATGCGTAAAAAGCCTTTTAAATAAAACTGACAAAATTATGTCATATTTAGAGACGTTAAACATTAAATGGGGTCAAATTGATCCCAAAGATAATAGGAGCATTCAAAAATATATAATAATTGAAATGAATAAAAATGCCCTTGACAAAATATACGAAATGCTTCATGTCCATCCAGCGTCTGTGTTTGATTAAAAGCTGCTCCAGCAGGCTGGACTCCAATGAAGGAAGGACAGACAGAGCATACAGACACAAACTGTAATCTGCAAACTGTAGATTACAAGCCAGACTGCATTAAGTTAGCTGATGTATAGGGATCACGTTACGCCTAAACCGACTGATGCTGGTGTTGCTGTGGATGCCGTTTCATGTCGGCTCATCTGACATCAAAACCGAGGCACCAGCAGTGCACTATTCTGTGCTTGTTTGCACGCTTATTCACTAAAGCTAAGATGTGGGACAAGACAAGTCTCTGTTTGTAATAACATAGAGGCATTTATTAAACATCTAATAAAGGTTGCTTTTGTTCAAATTTGTGTGCCGTTTAAGGCTGCCGCTAGTCCCTGTGAATGTCTGCCAATAAATGAAATTAAGCGACAAATGTGAAAAAAAATGCACGACTTTTCAGGATTACAAAGTGTGGCTGCAACAGAGAATACTTTCCACACTGACTGATGCACGGCAGATTCACCTTTTCTTTGTCTAAATTTATCTACATGCTGGAAACTGGGGAGAAATTTTTTATGCTCAGGTTCAATCCTGCCAAAAATGTGGCAAAGCTGCCACAGTAGCTGTGACATACTGAGATCACATTTTTATTTATAATTTATCTTTTTTTTTTTTTTTCTAAATTGGAAAATATATTTAAACATGCAACAGGCCCCATCTGGCTGCTCTGCTTTTACCGGCTGTGACATCAAGAACCTTACTTCTCTGTAACGGCAAAAAAATAATGGTGTTTAGTGGTAATTTAAATAATAAATGGACTGTGTTTACAAGATAGCACCCATTAAATCCACCAGAAAAAACCAAAGCACAAAGTGTAGCCGACAGAATTTGCAGTCTGTGTATGGAAACAAAAGCTGGACTTTAGTTATTTCAAGTCCAGTGAGACTATAACAAGCTTTAAAATCCCAAACTGCCTTCATAATTACAGCTCAACATTTAAAAAAAACAAAAAACAGACTAATGAGACTTGGATGTTGCCTTACTTGACCATGCTGCGGGCTCCGTCGGGGTCCATGGCGCTGACCGAGCCCACGGCTACGCCCACCGCCGCGTCTTCCTTCACCTCCATCAGGTAGCTGGCTTTGTCGAATAGCGGCGGCTCGTCCACGTCCTCCACGGCGATCCGGACCGTGGCCATGTCTTTGGAGCCGGCGGACATGAAGCGAGGGTCCACCTGGGTGTTCTGGACCTGGATCTCTACTGTGTACGATGGCTTCTTCTCGTAATCCAAAGGCTGCAGAGGCAAAGAGAGAAATGCGGTTTTATGTAGTGCTGTCTCTGTAAAGATAAAACCAGTATTACCTGCGCATGGCAAACAGACGCTGTGCAACATCACCTAAAAATCAAATGCTTCACCTCTCAAGACATTCTTTATATTTAAATAGATTGAT